CGACAATGTAACAATCCCAACCCCGACAAATGTAACAATCCCACTTTTAGTCGCCTGTTACGACAATGTAACAATCCCACCCTTTAGTCGCCTGTTACGACAATATAACAATCCCACCCCCAACCTTTAGTCGCCTGTTACGACAATGTAACAACCCACCCTTTAGTCGCCTGTTACGACAAATAACAACCCACCCTTTAGTCGCCTGTTACGACAAATAACAACCCACCCTTTAGTCGCCTGTTACGACAATATAACAATCCCACCCTTTAGTCGCCTGTTACGACAAATAACAACCCACCCTTTAGTCGCCTGTTACGACAAACCCTTTAGTCGCCTAACCTGTTACGACAAATAACAATCTTTAGTCGCCTGTTACGACAATGTAACAATCCCACCCTTTAGTCGCCTGTTACGACAAATGAACAATGTCGCCTGTTAACAAATAACAACCAACCTTTTTAGTCGCCTGTTACGACAAATAACAACCCACCCTTTAGTCGCCTGTTACGACAATGTAACAATCCCACCTTTAGTCGCCTGTTACGACAATGTAACAATCAATGTAACCCTTTAGTCGCCTGTTACGACAATAACAATCCCACCCTTTAGTCGCCTGTTAACGACAATGTAACAATCCACCCTTTAGTCGCCTGTTACGACAAATAACAACCCACCCTTTAGTCGCCTGTTACGAAACAATCCCACCCTTTAGTCGCCTGTTACGACAATGTAACAATCCCACTCTTTAGTCGCCTGTTACGACAAATAACAACCCACTCTTTAGTCGCCTGTTACGACAAATAACAACCCACCCTTTAGTCGCCTGTTACGACAAATAACAATAACAACCCACGACAATGTTTTTAGTCGCCTGTTACGACAATGTAACAATCCCACTTTTAGTCGCCTGTTACGACAATGTAACAATCCCACCCTTTAGTCGCCTGTTACGACAAATAACAACAATGTAACACCCTTTAGTCGCCTGTTACGACAAATAACAACCCACTCTTTAGTCGCCTGTTACGACAAATAACAACCTTTAGTCAGCCTGTTACCAATGTAACAATCCCACTCCCACTTTTAGTCGCCTGTTACGACAAATAACAACCCACCCTTTAGTCGCCTGTTACGACAAATAACAATCCCACCCTTTAGTCGCCTGTTACGACAATGTAACAATCCCACCCTTTAGTCGCCTGTTACGACAATGTAACAATAACAACCCACCCTTTAGTCGCCTGTTACGACAATGTAACAATCCCACCCTTTAGTCGCCTGTTACGACATAATAACAACCCACCCTTTAGTCGCCTGTTACGACAATGTAACAATCCCACCCTTTACGACAAATCAATCCTGTTACGACAAATAACAACCCACCCTTTAGTCGCCTGTTACGACAATGTAACAACCCACCCTTTAGTCGCCTGTTACGACAAATAACAACCCACCCTTTAGTCGCCTGTTACGACAAATAAACAATCCCACCCTTTAGTCGCCTGTTACGACAAATAACAACCCACCCTTTAGTCGCCTGTTACGACAAATAACAACCCACCCTTTAGTCGCCTGTTACGACAAATAACAACCCACCCTTTAGTCGCCTGTTACGACAAATAACAACCCACCCTTTAGTCGCCTGTTACGACAATGTAACAATCCCACCCTTTAGTCGCCTGTTACGACAATATAACAATCCCACCCTTTAGTCGCCTGTTACGACAATATAACCAACCCACCCTTTAGTCGCCTGTTACGACAATGTAACAACCCACCCTTTAGTCGCCTGTTACGACAATGTAACAATCCCACCCTTTAGTCGCCTGTTTCGACAATGTAAACATGAAACGTAACCCGGATCTGCACAGGTCATATACACATTCCAGTAATTGCATATAACTAACACATGATGTAACTTGTTACAGCAATTCCAGGACATTACAAATACATGATTCGGTTGGTTGGTTTGTTGTATAACGCCGCACTCAGCAATATCCCAGCTATAAATAATCGAGTTTGGACCAGCCAATCCAGTGATCAAGAACATGAGCATCGATCTTTGCAATTGGGATACGATGACATGTGTCAACCATGTCAGCCTGTCTGACGACCCGATCCCGTTAGTCGCCTCTGACAACAAGCATGGGTTACTGAAGATCAATTCTAACCCGGATCTTCACGGGTGAGACAACCCGGATCTTCACGGGTGAGACAAGCATGGGTTACTGAAGATCAATACTAACCCGGATCTTCACGGGTGAGAGAAGCATAGGTTACTGAAGATCAATTCTAACCCGGATCTTCACGGGTCACACATACATGAAGGAAGGGTGATAGCACAGGTCCAGACACCAACAACTGTTTGACGTCGAGAAACCAGCACGGAACGCTAGGACGTTTGTGTCATCCCTGGATTGTTAATCTAGTACAGCTCCTTTATGTATACAAACCTGTACACGAGATGTCGATGGCGATGATGATGGTGATGATGATGTCGATGGTGATATATCTTTTAAACCCCAATGTTGTACAGTGTTGCTGATGGGTGCCACACTGCCTTCATAGGAGTTTCAGAAAAATCAGTTGTATAAGGCGGAGATTGCTGGTTTGTCACCGGTCACGTCATTCTACATAATCGCATATTGACTCCATGTCGGGACAGATGCATTATGGTACCGACTTAAATAGAAATATAATGGAAATTGCTCAGAATCATTATTCCCCATACCTAAACCTAACAATGACTTTTTGTATGTCCAGTGTCCTTGTTCGGGTGGTCATCTACCGAAATTCTGTGGCTTCGGCAGTGACATGTTGCACGTGCTGCTTGTATTGGCAAATGGTTCGGTCTATCCATAAACTCTGTCAAAAAGAAACGCAACCCCTGTATTTTAGAGATTTTGATCTGAAGTTTTAAGACGACACAGCATTTTATTATTTAAGACAGAAGTCTGAAATTTGGCAGAATAATAACCAAGATGGGCATGTTTAAAATTGTCATTTCAAAAGTCATCTCACAGACACCAGTTTGTCACCAGGGGGCGTCTTTCTCAGTATCTCGTATGAGCACCACGAGCTGCAATCACTGCACGGCATCTCCTTGGACAAGAACGGATAAGACGCCGGATTCTTTCCTGGGGAATGGCTCTCCACTCCTCCTGCAGTGCAACGCCGAGCTGTTGCAGCGTCTGTGGCGGCGGCTGACGTTGACGTACGCGTCGACCCAGAGTATCCTACACAGGTGTTCAATAGGGTTGAGGTCTGGTGGATTTAGAGGGCTATGGCAAGACATTGACGTTGGAATTCTGCAGAAAGTTCATTGTTGCACGCAGTATGAGGCCGGGCGTTGTCTGGTTGAAAAATCTGTGTCTGTTGGTCAATAATCGGGAGAAGGTGAGGCTGTAATACGTGGTTGATGTAACGTTGGGCTGTCAGGTTCCCTTCAACGATCACCAAGTCTGATTTCTGGTTGTATGAGATGGATCCCCAAACCATAACGCTTTCTCCGCCAAATCTGTCCCCTGTCGGACGCAGATGGGCGCAAAACGTTCATGACGTCTCCTATACACACGTTTTCTTCCGTCGTGATGTTGCAAAAGAAAACGGGATTCATCAGAAAACCAGATGCGCCTCCAGTTTTGTAAAGTCCATATCCTTACGTTGTTGCACCACCTGAGTCGTCGGCGGAGATGTAGGGGCGTAGTACAGGTCCAACAACTGGTCTACAGGCACGTAAACCCGCTTCTTCAGACGGTTCCTAATCGTTTGAGCTGACACTCTCCTCAAACCTGGTATTTGTGTGGCAGTCACGGTTGGTAGGGCATGCCGATTACGCAGGTGATGGACCCGGATGTACCGATCTTGAAGGGGGTCGTGATTCTTGGCCTTCCACTTCGGGCGATCGTTGGTCAAATTGAAGTTGTTGTAGCGGCTCCAAAGTCGGGATATCGTTGTTTTGTGAACATTTAGGTGCCGTGCAACAGTTCCAAAACTTTCTCCGGCTTGAACACGACCAATGGCGATATTTCGGTCGGCAGCACTCAATCGTGGCATTTTTAACACAGCTTTCGGCGACAAATGAATGAATATAATACGAAAGCACATGGGCTTTATACACCCCTACATTAACTGCCATTTTCATGATTTGCATGTGTTTTTTGTGCGAAGTCACCATGAGGGTCATTTCATGCGTTGTGACGGAATAAGCAATAAAATACACTTATGCGTACAAATGCAGTTGTTTGATGGTAATCTTCATTAATTACGTGTATAATTTCAATACATTCGAATAAAATTTAGTTTGGAAGCAATAACTTCATTCAAACGAATTTTTCATATCTGAGGACAGGGGTTGCGTTTCTTTGACAGAGTTTATCGACTCGAGTTACCTTTAGACGAGTTGGTTTCAACATTATTCATGGCGCACGGCGAGCTCTGGACGTAAACTACGATACACACTGGCCAGGGAGCTACGTCCCGAACAGATCGGTACATGGGCCCTTATCTTCAACATGTTTTAGATGACACACGGAAATTGCTCTTCACTTACAGAATCTCGGCATATGGCCTTGCCATGAATATGCCCGTGAATGCTCCCATAAAAAGGACTTCACTCCGTGTGACAACGAGACCTCGCGAGACCCAGTGGTGTTTGGGTCGCGTTTCGTTACGCAGAGTTGCGTCCCTTAGGCATGCTTTGATCGTGAGTTTGAAGCCAGGTCCTGTGTGTTTCCAGGTTTCGCCTTCCCCGTGCTGGTTGGCGTCAGCAAATTTGTAAACATCTCAGATCTTTCTCACTGCATGATTAACACTGAAGTACTATTCCAAGCGGCGTTGATACAAACTTATTTACTAATTTACAACATTAAGCAGTGGTTGATCGTATCTCTGTAGCTGTTAATAGAATCGACGACATCCCGCCATGTCTCCATGGTGACAGCTACTCAGTGCTGAATTGTTATAAACACTGTTATAAAGAACATCGACACAGAGGACACGAATGTCGATCATATTTATTATCAACATTGTAAGTTTACACAACGTAACATTAGGAGTAACTTCTGACATGTGTCAGGTTAATTATCTTCTTATGATTAAAACTATTGAACATATAGAGAGTATATAGAGAGTATATCAACACCCAATCAATCATCTCTACCTGACTAAGGATGCAGAATACACTCATCTGATGACAACGACAATTTACAAGTGTGAGTTTATGGCGGTATGATTGTATCACAATCAAAGTGTTTAGCATGTCCAGAAAATATTTGATTCCAGAATTGTCCGTTACATTTTTAGACAACAAATTTACCACAAAGTAAATATGTAAAGATCTTATATGATAATTAAGTTATATTGCACAAAACACTACAAAATATACCCACCCTTACCAACTTATGTACTAACATAGGTATCAGTGCTTCACGAGTTCGCTATGTTCCACCACTGACCAGGACTATGAAGTAAACTGAAGTACCAAAGAAAGTACACACCTGACGATTTGGTAAAATATCTTCTTAAAAACAGCGTTAAAATTAGAAAAGTGTTTTGGTTGTGGCTTACAAGTCACAAACATTGTCTACGTGTTGCAATAACACCAGATATAGTACCCAATTACAACGTTGCTAGCAAACTATTTGTTTATTTGGGAATAGTCTAAATACACCAGGTGTGTACTTTATTTTGTACGTCAGCATATTTTTTTATCAAGTATTTACTGTATATGCTTTAACTTGCCGAGAGCGCATTTAACATGTTAGATGACTGACTGTGCGCGCCCCCTGAACCCCCATCTTGTGCCGTCAGTGTGTTCGGGGCTGTATTGACGAGTCAGGAAGAGGTGCCACGCAGGCCTGACCCGGATCTTCATGTTGCTCCTGTCAGCGGCAGTCAGTATGGAGTGAGTGTGGTTTTACGCCGCTTTCAGCGACACGCCAGCCATGCCATGCATTGTCCCCTCGCGGGAACCTAACCCACGTTCGTCGGTACAGCAAACGCTCAAGACGCTGGGCTATCCCCCTGTCTCAACACCATATCTAGGTCTACGACGAAAACTATGACTATAAACCACACAACAGTGACGGTACCGTTACGTGTATGACTAGTTTCATTGGTACACGATAGGGTACACAATCAATACTATCACTCTTCAACAACAGAGACCTTTATTTACTAACTGATTCAACGCTTATTGGCTCAGAACTACTTTTCCTCCGCCCATTTTTGGACGTATCACTGTCTGGGTTTGACCCAACGACTGACGATCCAGTCGGAGGTGTGATGACTCTGTCTCCAGGTTGTCTTGCTTGGACTGCAGGCCTGGCTTTGAATGAAGACGGCCTGATGTCAGGGATCGGCTCTACTTTACTGTGTGTCTTCAACTGGCGTGAAAGGTCCCAGGAAGATTTCCTGCGTAGGAATACATCTCTGACCTGAACATGAGGACACGAAAAAGATTATAAATACCCATAAACCAACCGTGTGATTGACATTGTAATGCATCGGCAGTATCAGAAATACACACCGTTTGCCCTTGTGACGAGCGCAGGTCATGGTGAGGCCTGGTCGTCTTCGCGTCGCCTTTGGGTGTAGTAATAATGGCCGCGTCAAACGTGACGCTTAAAACTGACTGATTATATGACCTTGACCTACCTCGCTGTTGATGATGCAGTGACAGATAAACAACAGCAGACCCTGCAGGGAGTTTGTGGCCGCGAACAGATACTGGAACACCACCGTCTTCCTGGAGAAGGTGAACACCCCGAACAGCCACGTGCAGCCCAGGAGCGGCAGCAGCAGCAACGAGGCCTTCACCGCCGTCCTGAAACAAAGGGGAACCTGCATTGTTGGAGGACGGCATTGAGAAACAGAACCATCACTCTGGCGTGTACGGTGCTATAACATCAACAGTTGAGGAAATAAAATGGATTCGGAGGACCATGTTGATGATTGTATGTACCGTTGGACCACGAGCAGCTTATGTCCATATTGGGAATCACATGTAATGGTGTATAACACCAACTTTTGTTAGTGCGCTTGTGTGCGTGTGTGTTTGAAATCTGAATGTAAAACTTATGTGCTTAACTTATAGCACATATCGTCACGTACTTGATGCTGCGGATCTTGTCCTCGTCCATGGCGGCACTGAGGCTCAGGATGACCCGCATCACCGACATCAGGATAACAAGGTTGGTCTGCAGCAACGGCAAAGGACATCATCATTGAGTGAGCAGGATTTAACGAGCTTTGAACAGTATCCTCGTTAACTTACAGTGAGTGAACTAAACCTAAGGTCGATATGAGACCATGGGCCTTTTGAGCGATTGAGTGAGTGAGTGATTGAGATTAGTTTTACGCCGCACTCAGCAATATTCCAACTATATGGCGGCGGTGTGTAAATAATCGAGTCTGGACCACACAATCCAGTGATCAACAACATGAGCATCGATCTGCGCAATTGGGAACCAAGTCAGCGAGCCTGACCACCCGATCCCGTCAGTCGCCTCTTACGACAAGCATAGTCGCCTTTTGTGGCAAGCATGGGTTGCTGAAGACCTATTCTACCCCGGATCTTCACGGGTCTTTGAGCGAGTGAGTGAGTTTGGTTTTACGCCGCTTTTAGTAATATTCCAGCAATATCGCGACGGGGGACACCAGAAATGGGCTTCACACATTGTAGCCATGTGGGGAATCGAACCCGGGTCTTCGGCGTGACGAGCGAACGCTTTAACCACTAGGCTACCCAACCGCCCCCATGGGCGTTTTGTTGCAACCAGTATTACAATCTGGTTTCAAATCCGGTAAACGGATCCTTCCATGGCAACCGGTGAACTACTGGGTTATCTCTCCATCACCTCTCCATCAAAATTGCTACAGCACGTTTACTTCCCTTGAATATGACATTACTCACATGCTGTCGATGATTGTGTTTCTGAAATTATATCCCAAATATTGTTCATCGTCGCTGGTTTTGAGGTCGACCCTCCATGACAAGGAAAATGTACCGTTAATTAATTAATAGACATAATTAAAGGTTTTGTTAGTTTCAGGTTTCGATGTCACGTTTTATATGAGCTGTTATTAACACATATTAGTGAACACCCTTATTTACTTACACATACAACAAGGACTGCTGGAACAGCGAAGGCCCAGATGGAATTATCCAGGGGAGACAACCAGCACCTGGTCACAGATTGACAGAGCCATTGTGGCGTGAATGCATGTAGATATGATATTATAGATAAAGACAACTCTCCTCTTTGTGAATACTGTAACTTACACTGCCCAGAAACGGGTCAGAACTGTCTCATTGAATGTCCAGCTCATGAAATACCACGTAAGGATGTCAAAGTAGCCGTTCTTGACCAAACCAAAAACATTAACACAATATTCGGGGATAATTTAATGTAGGATTGCATACAAAGACCTGTGTTAGACTTCCTCATTCAAATGGAGAAATATGACATAATTTAAATAAACATACATATAACAGTTTAAGTGGTGGATACAGGCCATTTTCGGGCCGAAGGTCGCTAGAAAAGCATGCCTACCTACCTGATGAAAGGCCGTTACACTTTACATTATTATAAAAGTTTGTGCAGAATAAAGAACAAGGTAATCCAGGTGGCTGCATTCTAATATTGCAGTGTGTTCGTATGGTCACACGAGGAAAGTTGACGAAAACAACAAATCCTTGACTTTGAGTAATTATGTTATAACTTACACGTTAAAATGTGATTATTTACTTTGTAATACTACATATTTCAATAAAATGATATGCCGTACACGTTCTAAACACATTAGCGATTCACTCACACGCCAAACTGTCCGAGGTTCTCGTGGAATATGGGGAGAAGCACACCGGCGACCAGGAAGGGCAACCCTTGGAATGAAATAATATGCTTCATTGTGAGCCCTCAAATGTTGAATTCATGTACGTTTTGATAATTAGACATTGGCTGCAGACCACAGACTACTTGTAGAATTATTCGAGTTTCATTCGCTCATTCTTGCAATCTTGCATTCTCTCATTCAGACATATGGTCTAACTTCAGGTCTTTGAAGGGCATATAGAAGTGACTCACATAAGGAAGAGAGTTTTACGTTGTAAACCTTGTGTCCCTCATGATAAATAAGTTGACATCCATAAAACTCCTTCCTCAATTTTTCCCAAGAATGGGATACCCCGAGAATACAAAAATGTCCCTGACAGTATTCCATACTAATGTCTCTGAACCAGCCGTGATCCGACCGTGTTTTGTTTGTACATCATAGGTCGTCTCGACCGACCGGCATCACAGTTAAAAGATGGTAATTTACTTTCAGTGGGATTTCGAAATAATAATTTTTTTCATATTTTGTCTAAAACAGCAACTGTTATAGCCTATGTCCGTGATATAATATATATTATGATACAACAACCGACAAACTGTACTTAATTCGTAAAGCGTATTTAGAGGCGGAAGAGATTTATTGATTCGTTATGAAAGGCAGATGTGGACAAGAGTCACTTTGTTAGCACATATTGAGTAAAGTGCACGCTGCTGTTGGCAATATTCCAGCAATATCACGACGGAGCCTGTCAGAAATTGGCTTCACACATATTTGAATATGTAAATAATACAGACAAAAAATACAGCATCAAGATTTCCCCCGGTTCGGTAATCTTCGGAACACGAATGCATATCAATGAGCAAACACACCCCATCCTATAGCGTAGAACACCTTCATCCTGCTCGCAGCGGTGAAGACGACGACAATCTGCATGAAGAGCTGCACTCCCTCCACCAACATCCAGCTGAACGCCGCCATGTTAAAGTAGTACAGGAGAACCGTTACCCCTACACACGCAGACTGGGGACAGAAACATCGGCAGTTGTTAAACATGGTTCTCCCTCATAAAGCACTCAGAGAAATGGATGTTGTTTTAGGCCGCAGTATGCAGTATTCCAGCTGTATGCCGTCAGCCGGTATACTAGCGGCAAGGAAGACTACCTGATTCTGTGTATACTAGCCAGATGCATTCTGTGCTAGTCGGATTGGGAACTCAGGAGCACCAATCACATGATTGTCTGGTCGATTATTACATGCATCTGTCATATAGCTGGAATATCGCTGATTGCAGCGTTAAACAATAAACTTATAAGTGAGTGAGTTTAGTTTTATGCCACACTCAGCAATATTCCAGCTATATGGCGTCGGTCTGTAAATAATCGAGTCTGGACCAGACAATCCAGTGATCAACAGCATGAGGATCGATCTGCGCAATTGGGAACCGATGGCATGTGTCAACCAAGTCAGCGAGCCTGACCAGCCGATCCCGTGAGTCGCCTCTTACGACACGCATGGGTTACTGAAGATCAATATTCTAACCCGGACATTCACGGGTAAATAAACTTATAAGGAAAGTATTCGTTGTCAAGATGAATAAGCGAACGCCATAAATGGGAAATTGTTTTCTATTATTTCGTAGGGTATCCAGTTGCTATTAAACAACGATATCGGGCCAGGCGGGCCATACAATAAGTCAGCAATGATATAAACAATAGAAGGCTGCTATAATATATCATACTGATAGTTTAGCCATTATGCATTGACCCCCTTTGGACGAAGCATTCCGCCTCCAGTGTTCGCCCCTGCGCTGATATTGGTTTTGTTAAAGGCGGAACAGACCTCTTTACAGATGCAGAGCATGAACTCACCGTCCCCCGGGCGACGGCCTCCTCCAGCAGCAGTAGGATCTGGGCGCCGATGATTGACACTGCCAGATTCAGATGGATCAGAACCCGGTCTGTGTAGATCCTGCAGTACAGGGCAGCCAATGGATAAACTGAATTCGGCGCCGCATATTCAAGCTGTATCACGGCGTAACATGTGCTATATTTGGGATCACACTTTCTCAGTAAAGCACACATTCTAATACTTCTGATTCGAAGCCACAATCTCAGTGTAAGGAACCTACTCGATAGCACTCAAAGTCAGCGATCTAACCTACTCAGCCATGGCAGCTTGCACGAAGACTGCAGTCGGTCAACTGGTAGTCCAGACCACGTACTTTGTGTACACCATTTGGCGGAAACTATGAATACTCAGGGACATTTAGAAACTGGTCAAATGCAACATGTATTTATATATGAGATTGCACTTTCTCAAATTGTAGTAATTTTTATAATAGGTGCTTTACCCCGATAGTGTGGGTTCAGCTCCCGAATGGGACGTTGTGACAAAGTCTGCCTACACTGCCACAAAGCCCCCCTTCCACAAAGTCTACCCACATTGGCACAATGTCTACCAATACTGCCACAAAATCAGCTTACAGTGCGACGCCCATGTCGGAGTACGTACTTGAGAAACAGGAATGTTAGGACTGTGAGTATCGCCCCCAGCAGGGACAGCGTGCACCCCACAAACGTGATCACCTCCAGAGCCTGCTTGTCGACGGGGGATAACTAAAACATGATGAAACGTAATATGGAGGAAGACAGGCATAATCCCACTATATAGTAGTCGCTTCCAGGGGCGTGTGTTTGATGGCGGCCACAACTGGGGTTGTAGAAGATCACCGTTCAGTGAACATCTTGTGGTATTAGTATTTAAATGTGATTCATAACACATGCTTATGATAAAGTCGAAATCGTACAATGGTTATGAAATGTTTTTTGTTGCTACTTATAAAATTTGCTGAAAATGTAAACAAAGTGGTGAAGCGACATTAAATTAAACTCAAGACCACGTCATGTATAGCACGATTACCTTACCTCAACATCAACAACCTGCATCAGTATGGCGAAGTTTGTCAGATGATTGCAAGAGCAGGTAACTCCAGTGTCTGTGACAACTGTGTTGCATCCAATATCTGACCATCTGGAATCGTCCTGGCCCCTGGCGAGATGGGTATAGAATATATATAATTAATATTGTTTGTATCATACAGATTTTATGAACCATTATGACATTGGTTCGTAAGAGAGTGGACAACTGATGCATTGTGACGTCATTTACCATTACCATAACATACATATCATACATACTATAAACACATGGTAACACCGTGCTGTTTCCGTAAACAAGACTCACAATATGCTGTTTTGTATGAATACAAAAATACGCAACCTGTCTCCAAAATCCAAGAAAACACACTTTGGGATGACAGTGACATTTTCTGGTTGGGACAACGTGAAAGTCAAGTTGATCTGTTTCTGATCCGTTGTGTTGCTAGGATACAAGGAAACGCCCACAATATGGTTGCTAATTTTTATTTCGGCACTGAAATGAAAAAAAATTAATGAGTACTTTTGTTAAATTGCACACATGTGATTAAATAAGAAAGCTTAGGAAGGACGAGTTTGAAACTACAACTACATTACGACATTTCGGCCGAACCGCTTTACGACGCGGAGACCTGATGTCCATTCACAGTCTCATCCGTGATTCGTTTTAGCCTGACTTCCTGAGACACTTACATCGTAATTGTGGTAATTGTTACTTCTAGATTTACAGCCATCATTAAGGACGAAGTATTCTCGCCTACCAGGCTTTCACAGTTGTGTTTTGACGGCTTGTATCAATGGGGTAGGAATAGCAACTAGGTCGTGTGTAGTGTCATGGACAGGACACCTATTCTCATACAAGCTGGCGGTCTCAGGAAACTTGCTCCATGTTCATCAAACACACAGTTGCTCATATGCGACCACAGGGTGAACTATGTAGATCGAACGTACACAGTCCGTTTGAGTCAGAAACGGACCGATGAATTGCAAATTTTATCATTGTACAAAATTGCCACATAAATATAAATAGTACACATGTTTATCATTTACTAATACCCAACAGCTTTCTTATATTTGAAAATTTTCCGGACTCCACCAAAAAAGTTCTTTAAGAAACTATCATTAAAATTTGGACACAGTTCACTATTTGTTACGAGGAAGGAGTGCAGAGAAAGGGACAGCCAGGTGTTAGAGAAGCACGTGCACAAGTGCCCACTTGCTCCATGTTCATCAAACACACAGTTGTTCAGCAACAAAAGTCTCCATCCTTTCTCGCACTCCTGGCTGTCCCTTTCTCTGCACTCCTCCCTCGTAACAAATAGTGAACTGTGTCCAAATTTTAATGATAGTTTGGTGGAGTCCGGAAAATTTTCAAATATAAGAAAGCTGTTGGGTATTAGTAAATGATAAACATGTGTACTATTTATATTTATGTGGCAATTTTGTACAATGATAACATGACTGTAATCAAAGACAATGATGTGTCCTATTTTCACTGTGCCAATATCCGAAATATCAATACAAATATGAGAAATATCTACCCTGGGGTATCTTCCGGCCATGTAGCGTTGTAGTTGGTGGGGAAGATCTCGCCGATGCCTCTGAAGACGTTACTGACGAGGGCGACGTTTCTGTCTGCATGGGTGGACAGCACCATAGAACCCTCGGACATGAACATCAGACGCTCCACCGGCTGCAGGGCGGACTTTACCGTCACCTCTGGAAGGTAGACGATGGCTTTACTGGCACTTCTATAGCGAAACAGTTGGTTTCATTATCGCTTCTATATGCCATGCCAAACAACTGATTTTACTGCCACCTCTATAGTGTACTCGAAACGATGTTTCTGTCTTTTCGATACGGTACAGTTAAATTTACTGTCGCTTCTATAGCGTGGTCGAGGGTAGATTTGACCAAGCTTACTCTAAGGTGATTTTTCTGTCACGGCAGCATGACGGAGGTACTGCTCATTTGATGCTAGATGTTAACACTCTCACTATGATTGCACTCGTGGAATCTTGTTATTAGCTTACTACTCTTTACTGAAATTTCCTTCTCAGCCGTCAATCATTCTTGTTTTACTGTCGGAAATTAGCATAACCTATATACATTAAGTCGAATATATATATGTTGCGTTTTTACAGGTTGTCATAACACACTTGGAAGGTACGCAGTATGACCGCGGACAAATAAAGACCTGAGGTGGGATTACTTTATGTATGTGAGTCAGTGACGCGGAGCATTGCAATGTTACAGCGGTTATTGATAGAGAAGGCAGTTGAAGCAGCCGTAAAATGTAAAATGGTGGTAAAAAGTGTGTGGACGGATCAGTGAAGACCAGAGATTACACTTGTGCGCGAAAAGGGTCGGCATTTCCGGAGTGTCCCCGTTTACCCACCACCTGCTGTTTTGAGGTTCCAGTTCAGTGAGGGGAAAGTATCTGGAACATGTGTGAGATGTTACAAAATTGTCACCATTGAAGCGAACCAGGGATTCGGTGTGAACCCATATATGTGCCAAAACATTTCCAAGTATCGTTGTAATTCTTTCTCACGTGTGGGCAAGCAACCAATCATATGATCTGATAACTGAAATCCGAATTTATGTTATGCTAGAATGATGTAACCGTCAGTAAGAGACTCGGCAGCACTTGGTAATACAGACCAACAGGCTGTTAGCACCACCTTATACTGTGGTATGGTGCCCCCTTACCGAAGTTATCTCTCCTGTGCTGGATGTATCTGTGTTCTATGTAGCACCACCTTATACTGTGGTAGGGTGCCCCCTTACCGAAGTTATCTCTCCTGTGCTGGATGTATCTGTGTTCTATGTAGCACCACCTTATACTGTGGTATGGTGTCCCCTTACCGAAGTTATCCCTCCTGTGCTGGATGTATCTGTGTTCTATGTAGCACCACCTTATACTGTGGTAGGGTGTCCCCTTACCGAAGTTATCCCTCCTGTGCTGGATGTATCTGTGTTCTATGTAGCACCACCTTATACTGTGGTAGGGTGCCCCCTTACCGAAGTTATCTCTCCTGTGCTGGATGTATCTGTGTTCTATGTAGCACCGTGTACTGTGGTATGATGCCCCCTTACCGAAGTTATCTCTCCTGTGCTGCAGTATCTGTGTTCTATGTAGCACCGTGTACTGTGGTATGATGCCCCCTTACCGAAGTTATCTCTCCTGTGCTGGATGTATCTGTGTTCTATGTAGCACCACCTTATACTGTGGTATGGTGCCCCCTTACCGAAGTTATCTCTCCTGTGCTGCTGGATGTATCTGTGTTCTATGTAGCACCACCTTATACTGTGGTATGGTGCCCCCTTACCGAAGTTATCTCTCCTGTGCTGGATGTATCTGTGTTCTATGTAGCACCACCTTATACTGTGGTATGGTGCCCCTTACCGAAGTTATCCCTCCTGTGCTGGATGTATCTGTGTTCTATGTAGCACCACCTTATACTGTGGTATGGTGCCCCTTACCGAAGTTATCCCTCCTGTGCTGGATGTATCTGTGTTCTATGTAGCACCACCTTATACTGTGGTAGGGTGCCCCCTTACCGAAGTTATCCCTCCTGTGCTGGATGTATCTGTGTTCTATGTAGCACCACCTTATACTGTGGTATGGTGCCCCCTTACCGAAGTTATCCCTCCTGTGCTGGATGTATCTGTGTTCTATGTAGCACCACCTTATACTGTGGTATGTGTGCCCTTACCGAAGTTATCTCTCCTGTGCTGGATGTATCTGTGTTCTATGTAGCACCACCTTATACTGTGGTATGGTGCCCCCTTACCGAAGTTATCTCTCCTGTGCTGGATGTATCTGTGTTCTATGTAGCACCACCTTATACTGTGGTATGGTGCCCCCTTACCGAAGTTATCCCTCCTGTGCTGGATGTATCTGTGTTCTATGTAGCACCACCTTATACTGTGGTAGGGTGCCCCCTTACCGAAGTTATCCCTCCTGTGCTGGATGTATCTGTGTTCTATGTAGCACCACCTTATACTGTGGTATGGTGCCCCCTTACCGAAGTTATCCCTCCTGTGCTGGATGTATCTGTGTTCTATGTAGCACCACCTTATACTGTGGTATGGTGCCCCTTACCGAAGTTATCTCTCCTGTGCTGGATGTATCTGTGTTCTATGTAGCACCACCTTATACTGTGGTATGGTGCCCCCTTACCGAAGTTATCCCTCCTGTGCTGCATGTATCTGTGTTCTATGTAGCACCACCTTATACTGTGGTAGGTGTGTCCCCCTTACCGAAGTTATCTCTCCTGTGCTGGATGTACCTGTGTTCTATGTAGCACCACCTTATACTGTGGTAGGGTGCCCCCTTACCGAAGTTATCTCTCCTGTGCTGGATGTATCTGTGTTCTATGTAGCACCACCTTATACTGTGGTAGGGTGCCCCCTTACCGAAGTTATCTCTCCTGTGCTGGATGTATCTGTGTTCTATGTAGCACCACCTTATACTGTGGTAGGGTGTCCCCTTACCGAAGTTATCTCTCCTGTGCTGCAGTAGCTGTGTTCTATGTAGCACCACCGTGTACTGTGCCACCTTACCGAAGTTATCCCTCCTGTGCTGGATGTTGATGTCGGTACACCCGTCCAGGAGGTGGTCCGTGATCCTCCCCAGCACTTTGTCTACAGACTGCACCAGAGACGGCAGCGCCTCCGGGTCCTTGATACAAAAACTAATATTAGTAAAACACAAATATTGTAGTCCTGCTGGAATTCAAGAATAACCCATAAACTACTTGTCCAAGAACTTAATGTAGAGATAGTAATATTAATAGTAATAGTCAGCTTATATGGCGCTCATACCCAGGCACATTACCTGCTCACGGCGCTACGTACATTACTATCCCCGGCCATTGGACACTATCGTACTTTCCGATACTTTTGCAACTCCCTGGGGATCATACAGCCATGCATGCTGTGAGATGTGAATGATGTCTGTGCTAATTATTTTTAAAAAGTGGCATTTTCCCGAGCAGTTTCATACGACCTGTGCGAAAGATAAGACGGATGGAAACACATAATGCACATTCAGCTGATTAAAATACTTTAGCCATGAAATTAGTTTAAAAAATTGTTAAGTGGTAAAACAACCAAAATACGTATATCATTATGTTTGATACATTTGCCAGTTGTCGAGGTACGTATCCCAGGGTATATCAGTGATCATCAGTATTTTACAGGACAGCTAAAATTGTATTTCTTTATCCTCTTTCTTCTTCGCGTACAGTTTCTCTCATATCAGGTTTCTAACATACAGTTTCTCACACATAGTTTCTAACATACACTTTCTCACACACAATTTACTGACATACAGTTTCTCACAGAGTTTCTCAGTTTCTCAAAAACAATTTCTGACATACAGTTTCTCGCAGTTTCTCTCGCATAGTTTCTGACATACAGTTTCTCATGCATAGTTTCTGACATACAATTTCTCACACACAATTTCTAACAGTTTCTCACACACAATTTCTGACACACAGTTTCTAACATACAGTTTCTCACACACAGTTTCTGACTCAGTTTCTCTAACAGTTTCTCTCATATACTTTTTGACACAGTTTTTCACATACAGTTTCTCTCAAAGTTTCTCACATACAGTTTCTCTTTCAGTTTCCCACATACAGTTTCTCTCATATAAGGTTTCTCACATACAGTTTCTCACACATAGTTTCTGACAGACAATTTCTCACACAATTTCTGACATACAGTTTCTCACATACAATTTCTAACATAGTTTCTCACAGAGTTTCTTACATACAGTTTCTAACAAACAGTTTCTGACACATAGTTTCTGACATACAGTTTCTCACACTTTCTGACATACAGTTTCTCATACATAGTTTCTGACATACAGTTTCTCACACACATTTTCTAACATACCGTTTCTCACACATAGCTTCTCACACAGAGTTTCTAACATACACTTTCTCACACACAGTTTCTAACATACCGTTTCTCACACACAGTTTCTGACACATTTTCTAACACACAGTTTTTCACATACAGTTTCTCTCAGTTTCTCACATACAGTTCCTCTTACAGTTTCTCACATATAAGGTTTCTTACATACAGTTTCTCACACATAGCTTTTTAACATACAGTTTCTCACACAGTTTCTAACATACACTTTCTCACACAAAGTTTCTGACATACACTTTCTCACACAGTTTCTAACATACACTTTCTCACACACAGTTTCTAACATACACTTTCTCACACACAGTTTCTGACATACACTTTCTGACGTACATCTTCTGAGAACTGTTCCCAGGCGTCGTGGTTGTCGGGCCGTAAGAGGGTATCAACAATGTCGCTGACGCTCTGCAACAGACACATGCCTTTAAAGATTCTGGACACCGTTAATCGGAATGAACTTACATTAATAACTTAACATGATTCCGTACAGGGACGGTGGGGTAGCCTAGTGGTTAAAGCGTTCGCTCGTCACGCCGAAGACCCGGATTCGATTCCCCACATGGGTACAACGTGGGAAGCTCATTTCTGGTGTCCCCAGCTGGGATATTGCTATAAACGGTGTAAAACCATACTCACTCACTCACTGTTTCCGTACACATTGGTAGTATGTCACCATGCTAGGTGTAATGTCATAAAGCAATCCTCACCTCAGCCTATTCGAAACGTATTGGGTGGATGTCCAGTTTGGGTTGAGTCTCTATTCAGATAGATATTTTGAAACTAATGTAATCTATTTCCAAAACGAAAGTCACTATTAGGCTATATAGGTTTCTAGGAAAGCATTTTGGTGTTACAAAAGTCAAGACTACAGCACTGTGAATTTCGTCGCTTTAGACTGGACAACTCGACTCCCTTAAATTCATGGGGCGGTGGGGTAGCCTAGTGGTTAAAGCCTTCGCTCGTCACGCCGAAGGCCCGTGTTCGATTCCCCACATGGGTACAATGTGTGAAGCCCATTTCTGGTGTCCCCCGCCGTGATATTGCTTGCGTAAAACGATACTCAGTCAGTCAGTCATATGGATTCCTGCATGTATGGAAGAGCATTCAAAGGATGTACATATACAAGGCAATGATTATCTTAGGAACATTCACAAAGGACATATATTACGTGACAATGATTCATGTAAATCTGAACAAGGTTAAAATGCTGTTTGGTGTTACCGAGATCAGATGTGCGGTGTCGTCTTTGGAGAGGGTGCTTATGAGCGGTGTTGTCGACAGATTGTCGAGGATGTTGCTAACGTCCACCACGCTGCTACAGTTCAGAGTTTCCTTGAGCGTGGAGCTGAACGCCAGGAACTCTGACAACGTGTCCGAGGTGTTTACGATGGGGGTTGTCACGTGATGCTAGATAGCGGGATAAGAAAAGATGCTGCTCATGTCAGGTTATAAAGTTGCGGATAAACAAAGTGCCTGAACTATAACCGGTGGAACATATGGCTGACATTGTCTTTCTTAAACCTAAACCATTTTGACTCATAATTGTTACATGAAACCCTAAGTCTGAATACAACACATTAGAAAACCTCCAGTGAAAATGCAAATATTGGCAAGTGTATGACACAACATGATTGAATACCGTTGAGCTTATGTCAAAGACTCTCGTGTGCGTAATAATGTTGTTATGTCATCCATATTTCATTGTATCATCGGCGTGCGCCAAGGCTGTATACCAAACCCCTTTTTGTTAATTTTCTTTAAAACTAATTAGCGACAGTTGTGTATCAAAATTGTACAGATGGTATTCAGTTGAATCAAGATCTTGTTAAGATATTCTTGTTATTGTTTGTCGATGATGTCGTCATGTTTTCAAATACAGTGAAGGGGCTGCAAAAACAACATATTGTGTTGGAAAACCATTGAATCGGATTCAAGGTAATCTAGCTTACGGAACGAAACCCGGCACACAATTTGATTAGACCTACAGGTGACTATACCTATTGTATATTTTAGTTAATATGCTGTGTAGAAACATACACACATACATGTAGAAACAGTGTTACAATTGTTTGTTAGATCAACGTTTTTGTCTATATGCCAACGAATCGCGGCAACAATAGAGTGGGTGCTTAGCGCATGACGCGATTGTTTAGGGTAATGTACGACGTGACGGTACGTACACTGGGCGTCACTGTTGAAGTCGACGCTGTACGTCTGGTAGTCGTGTCCACACCTGAAACTAGACACAGTTACACTCAGGATAAATATACCACCTGGAAAACTGTTTCTAATCACTTCTGAAATTGAAATTTGAAGGTAGGCTGCATTTTTAGATCTAGCAAAGTTTCTGTTTTATATGTGACTATTGTCAAAGAAAACACATAAAAATATAATGTTGCAAAAACTAACAGATGTTTTTGTCAACTACAGAAGCATACATACTAACTGTACACGGTCGACGCTGGGGACGAACTACTCTCGATTATCCCATGAAACAGACTGTATTTTGCGTAAAAGGCAAAATAGCGGTGAAAACATGTCGAATGGATAACTGAAACTCATTGATTTTCATTGAACTCATTACGTTTATGTTGCTGTAAGGTAGAGGTGCACGTGTACCTGGGTGGCTGATCAGATGGATCTCCAGCGCTGTCAGCTCCCTCGTCCACAGCGCCAGCTCATCCATCTTGAGACACTCGCCCCACACGTCACTGGAAATCAAAGCAGCATCAGCCGCCAGTCCACGTAGATCCACCCGACCACGATAACTACTGGTACCCTTACTGAACAAGGTTACTCTGCCATAGCGCAAATGCGACGTCACAGTGCAATAGGACTCTCCCCACAATATAAACCTGTCGTCTGCTCATTTTAACTTAGGTCAGTAATGGGAGATACTAAGTGAATGATGATTTAAGCCAAAGTCGGCAATAAAGTGTGGTCAGGCACAGTAATGGCTAAACGCGTGAGGCGTGTTAACATGGTTTCCACCAGAAAATCAGATCACTATATATAAAACTTCTACAGCACTGGAACCATCTAAATCTGCTTAATGTAATTTTACGGAAGCTTCCATAATTCGTTGTATCTCATATTAATAGGTAGTTTAAAAGACAAATTGCATTGTACAAATGGTTGAACTAAAGTCCAGTTCAACATGTGCATGTCCAGTGTGTAGTGAGTTTTAGCAAAATATTTATATCATTATTTTGACGATAATTCTACAAACTTTGTAAATTAATGAAACAATCAAAATATCATTTAGCATGCCACAGAACTAAGAAAGAGGATATGCAACAAATCCCAGATATGTACTATAGGCCTTTGACCTAAACAGTACATTGAATAAACCTTAACATGCCCTTAGGTTTTAACCTGGAATGAACATACCTGTACCCCTTACTGAGCTAGTGTCGACCTTAGGGTCCTTACACGTTTGGACTTTGTCCATGGTATTTATCCTACTGGCATGGGGGTAAAATGTAAAACAACCGAGGATGGACAGGGCGGTCACGATATACTTCTCCAGATACATACATGTACACTTCAAAATCAAATGACATCGTATTGGACAAGATTCTCTCTGCTGCAATTATTCCCAGTCTGTACCTTAGCTCCTTGCAGCCAACCCTAAGCCTGGTGTAGGAGTCGCTTATTGTCGACTGGTGCACTCCCGACGCCGACTTCACGAGGCCGCCATTGATATACACCTTCACACCTGGAACAATGGGCAGGTGAAGGTATGTTGGTGTAGGTAGTCTTCAAGAAGTTGATCACGTCTGGGCAACGTGTTTGCTCAAGATTTGATAAAATAGTGAAACTAAGATAATCAAACTGCAGGAGGTTCCTAATATCTGCCAGCACAGCGACACATGATAATCATTATGTGCAGTAATTCTTCCGAAGATGCATTCTGTTTGTAGCAGAAATTAAATACAAAGTGGCAGACTGAGTTGAAACATATGTGCTTGGCTTCAAACTTTTTCTGCAATCTAACTCTAAGGCGAGGTCAACCTGTGGTGTCCAAGGGAGGGTCTCCGTGTGTCTGGCTACCTGTAGATGGATTCCACGTGGGGGTCTGTCTCCAAGTGTCTGCTTACCTGTGGATGGACCTCAGGTAGGGGTCTGTCTCCATATGCATGTGTCTACTTACCTTAGATTGACTCCAGGTGGGGGTCTCCATATGCATGTCTCCATATGCATGGGGAGTCTGTCTCCATATGCACCTGTCTACTTACCTAGACTCCAGGTGGGGGTCTGTCTCCGTGTGTCTGCTTACCTGTAGATGGACTCCAGGTGGGGGTCTGTCTCCATATGCATGTGTCTGCTTACCTGTAGATGGACTCCAGGTGTGTGTGTGGGGGTGTCTCCATATGCATGTGTCTGCTTACCTGTAGATAGACTCCAGGTGTGTGTGGGGATCTGTCTCATATGCATGTTTCTGCTTACCTGTAGATAGACTCCAGGTGGGGGTCTGTCACCGTGTGTCTACTTACCTGTAGATGGACTCCAGGTGGGGATCTGTCTCAATATGCATGTGTCTGCTTACCTGTAGATGGACTCCAGGTGGGGGTCTGTCTCCATATGCATGTGTCTGCTTACCTGTAGATGGACTCCAGGTGGGGGTCTGTCTCCATATGCATGTGTCTGCTTACCTGTAGATGGACTCCAGGTGGGGATCTGTCTGTCTCAACCTATGCAGGTGTCTGTCTCCTTACCTGTAGATGGACTCCAGGTGGGGGTCTGTCTCCATATGCATGTGTCTGCTTACCTGTAGATGGACTCCAGGTGGGGATCTGTCTCCATATGCATGTGTCTGCTTACCTGTAGATGGACTCCAGGTGGGGATCTGTCTCCATATGCATGTGTCTGCTTACCTGTAGATGGACTCCAGGTGGGGATCTGTCTCCATATGCATGTGTCTACTTGTCTCAATATGCATGCCTCTTACCTGTAGATGGACCTCAGGTGGGGTTCTGTCTCCGTGTGTCCACTTACCTGTAGATGGACCTCTTGTGGGGATCTGTCTCCGTGTGTCCACTTACCTGTAGATGGACCTCAGGTGGGGATCTGTCTCCGTGTGTCCACTTACCTGTAGATGAACCTCAGGTGGGGGTTTGACTCCGTGTGTCTACTTACCTGTAGATGGACCTCAGGTGGAGGTCTGTCTCCAAGTGTCTTCTTACCTGAAGATGGACCTCAGGTGGAGGTCTGTCTCCGTGAGTCTACTTACCTGAAGATGGACTCCAGGTTGGGGTCCCCGTGTGTCTACTTACCTGAAGATGGACTCCAGGTGGGGGTCTGTCTGCTTGTGTCTACCTACCTGTAGATGGACTCCAGGTGAAGGCGAGATGAACTAGCCGTGTCCGGGTTAGGTTCACGACATTTTCAGGAATCTGTGCGCTATATACTTCACCGGATGTCTTCAGCGCCATCTCATACATCCTGCTTGTTGCGTTATAGCCAATGTACACCCCCCTCGACGCATTATGGGCTCCTGCAGACGACACAAGGGTTCAAGTGAACATAAAACCAACAATATTCAAGAGAGCACAGGCAAGAAATACCATATGCCTATTAAATCAGCACTTCCACACGGATATACACTTTCGTGAGTCATAATGCAGCCTCCATCAAATGACACCATAGTTCAGATCCACGTAATAACTCTTTCCTTCAGATATGGCATTTCCGGAATTTCGTGTGACACTTGCATTTGACTCCTGTGCCTTCCGTGATAGAAAGTAGTTCTCAACAAGATATCGGAAATGTTGGTCACAACCTGCCTGGACATATCTGATGTTCATTGTACGAAGCAGATATTCACCCATAAACTCACTGTCCCACTCTAAGTACGACAGTAGTCAACAGTAGATGCTAATTGCACATGTTCACCTCATGCTACTACATATCTATATGTCACTGTTCAACCTTTTCATATAAATCTACATATTGAATAATCAATAATTGTCAGCAACCTTATGATTCTCTGAAGATAACAACAGCAATAACAAAACAACAACAATAGAAATACGCGTCCCAAACTTGTCTCTGTGTGCAAGCCAACTGACTCCTTGCACTGCTGAAGTCAGTTTGCCTGAAAAGTGAAACATAAGGCTTCTTGTTTGCTAATGAAGATCAGTTACTTTTTCCTCGAAATGTGTGATTTTGAACAAATATGTAAATGTGCATAATGAATTCATGACTGTACATGACAGGATTTAATGAGCCTGTCTAACGTCAATAGATACCCAGCGTTGGCACAAACAAAGTATCTTGAAGTCTTTGAACGGCATTTGGAACTCTAAGACATAAAAGGTGAGCATTCCTCATAATGAAAACAGTTTACACCCATACATTCTCACGTTTTAAAGCATCTTAAGCGACATGATTGTGATGCTCGAGACTTTCCTTACTGTGTTCGTCATATGCATGCTTGTCGTGTGACTCAGAGGTCAATCCACGGTACGACCCGGAACGTGTAGAGGGCATATACAACCTCAGACGTATCAAGGCCAACAAAGCTGACCTTGTCGCTTTTGATAAATCCAGTGAAACCATATATATACTATCCCAAGAAAGAAACGCATAGGCATTTTGTATTTTTTTAAATCTATTAATTACCTATTGTGTTCAAACAATCGTCAAAATATGTAACAAAAGTGTTGATAACATGCTTTTACACAATTGTACAAGTCAAAAATTGACTTTACCTGAAAATGTTGATTTTGATGAGATTTCTTACAAGGATTAAAAAGGTATCGCGACAACACAACAGAAATCACCTTCCAGTTGAAATTGTGCAGCAAAGAGCATGCACTGTCTGGCTATAAAAATCCAGATTACTTTCGGAAATCGACATTCGTTTTGAAGAAGTTTCAAGGTCAAATCACTACGCCACGTCTTGAGGCTGCGACACGGAACATCGGCGTTGAAAGTATGCACGCTGGAGATTACCAATCTTCTGTTGCCAGGCGTCTGAATGTTAGTCAGAGCACAATATCACGGCTTGCAGCTCGTTACAACCAACAGGTATAACAAATGGCCGACCCCGTACAGGCAGACCTCGAGTCACTACTGCAGCCCAAGATCGGTACATCCGGGTACTACATTTGCGTGATCGTACTTACACGGGTGAGAGCACAGCAGCCAGGGTGCCTGGACTTCGGAGGATATCCGGTCAAACGGTGACAGAACAGGTTGAGAAAGATTGGACTGAGAACCAGGAGACCCGACGTCGGGACCGTGCTACGTCGTCACCATCGCGCTCAACGTCTCCGTTAACCAAAATAATCCAGTTGGATGTATATATATTATGTAAAAATGTAAACTGTAAAAATTCATGTACTAAACTCTATTTGTGGACGAGTTACATGTTTAAAAATACAACATTTTCGCAACAGATTTCTGGGTTATGCGTTTCTTTTATAGAATAGTATATCATTGAATTCTCTGTCGTATTTGGCAGTAATGTGATTGACAAGATTCAAGAAACACGTGGCGAATGCCATTGTTCCCGGTGCCTTAGGTGTAGTACCTCCCAATTGTGAGAGTACCCATGTTGGCTGTCAGGAACACACCCCTTCTGTCACTCTGGGTGATATAGACAGATGCAACGTTGGGAAGTCTTCAGAATCTCCGAAGGTCTTGGTGGGTACCCGGGAGAAGTGCCATTCACTCTCTGGTTGCCTACAGTGGGGCAATATAAACTGATGATGAGCCTAGCCAACCTGACTGATTGCCTATACTGGGGTCAAGGTCAACTGATGATGCGCCAAACTATCCTGACTGGTCAGCTGATGATGAACCTAACCAACCTGACTGACTGCCTATAGTGGGGTCAAGGTCAACTGATGATGAGTCTAGCCAACCCGACTGTGCTAGGATCATACGAACACGCTTTGCGTTTTGTTTTTAAGCTGTAAATAATTATAACAATCGTAATAATATAATTAAAAACTGTCGTTGCTACAATTTGGCTTCTTCCACATTTTCTCAAGGAGACAGTTACTCACCGGAAGTAATGATGGTTACGTCAGTTCCTGGTTGCAGTAATCTGAAGAAGAATCCATACGTCACCCCTGACGAGCAGAGCCCTGGGTCGCTCACACACGTGCCTGAAAAACAAAACAAACTGCCCTACAATTAATGGCTCATGCGCGTTTGCTTTATACACCGACACCTGGATACTATGGAGAGCTACCCGGGCGAATACTGTGTGGACCACCGCTACCCACCGATACCCATCGATACTCGCAACGGCAATAAACCATTTCACCGTACATCAAACTCCCGATAGTGCGGAAGTTCATCTTCCTGACGATTATGTTGTTAACGTCTTTCTAAGTATTTTTAGAATTGTTCGCATTTACGCATGTTTAACTCATGGTTCGCATCACGTTCACTTGGACGGGTGGCCGTCCGGATTAAATATTAATGTAACTTTACGACAGCGATTTAACAAACACCAAATACAGGACTTTGTCACCAGCAAATGAACCAATGTCCAAGCATTCAGAAGAGTTGATGGACAGCATCCCGCCAGAGCGCCCACCAGGGTCCACCGTAACGTGCTGACTGACCACCTCTGTCTGCCGAAGACCCTTCGTTTGACTCTCTGAAAACTAAACAAATACATTCACACCTCCACACCTCATCCCAGACTGAAGCATTGCACTGGATAGCGTATCAACTAGTTACCTGGGCCCCGTTTCACAAAGCTCTCGTAGGCCTAAGATATCGTAACTTTTAACGTAGCAGTCGTACCTCCTATACTGTAACATAGGGCGTACGAATGCTACGAGAAAAGAGATCTTAGGCTTACGAGAGTTTTGTGAAACGAAGCCCTGATGGCAATGATGGTTGGGTACTCTGGTGGTAAAGCCTTCGTTCGTCACGCCAAAGGTCCGGGTTCGATTCCGGTGTTGGTACAAAACGTAGCCATATTCTTGTATAAGTCGCTGTGGCAAGGTGGTTTATGATTTCCTAGAGATACAGCTCATTACAATCAGAGGGTATTAACATCCAGCCACCATGAACAACCGACTTAACGGTTGTGGAAGGTCGGTCTCTCTATACCTCTACTGCCGAGTTCTACTGCGCTAGGACCGAGGTAAGTCGATGTTAAGGTATGGGAGTTACGGTCATCTGAGTGAGTACTTCATACCGTACCGTCTATATTGTCATACTTATGTCACTGTGACAACAATAGGCTGTATGTCACCAAGTCAAAATATGCTACCGTGACTGATAGTGGGTTATGTTACTGTTACTAAAATATACCACATAAAATGCCTGTATTCAGTCGTGCCTAAGATATACTGTATTCTGCAGTGACTGAAATATACTTCGTGACACGTTTAAAAGCATAGAGTTATCTGCCCTTGGTTTTACTGTCGCCCCATCACTTCACACATCATTTAGCTCCAGCAAGGTTTCACTCTGTCACGTGGCTTTTACTTTATCGAACACATCCTGTCGCCAGTCATGGCCAAAATGATAATAAATAATGCCCGAGACAACTGTATTTATATTTATTAAATAGCTTTTTTAGCAACCCGCCATCATGCTGTACAAACGCGCGGAAGGATCGGTCGGTATGCGTCACTACTCCTTCGCTGGCCGTGGTACTACTCCGGTAACAGAATAAGCCGAATGAAGTGCAGACCTGGCTGGAATGAGGCACGAGTAGACACGAGAAACTGACTCTTTACAACCTAATGAGTCATGACGGGTCGTATTTACTTACCGTTCCAGCCGTGATCTCATCGAACGTGAAATGGAGATTAGCCTCGGTATACAGCTCGTGCTCTGTAAAGGAAACCAGGTAAAGTAGTTACAAACTGTTTCCATCCTCGCCACACAAGTGAGTTATGTTATATGCAGTTCACATATAGTCCTTGGGAATGCACGGATCTGTACGTATGTTTACATATGCTTGAAGCAGAGATTGGCATATAGCATTTATTCATCTCATGAACAGGTATCAAATTTATCATAAAGATTATTGAGTGAGTGAGTAAGTGAGTATTGTTTCTCGGTCGAGGCGAAGTTCCATGTAAATATTCTGTACATTTAAAATTGCACTCAAGATATGTGTAAGTGAGAATTTAATTCTTTTGGCGACTCGGGATTCTGTTCTTACTGTATTACTTTCAGTTAGTAATTTCATATGCCAAGGGGAAGACTCACTGCATAAGGCACACATGTACGGACATCCGTTGATGACGAAGGAGTGAGTGCCGTCGCACCTGTCCGCGTACCAGCCCTGGTCCCCTACGTTGGGGTAGCATTTGATGTCTGTGTCACGACATAACCCTGCACAAACACACATGGCGATTACAGCATCTGCTTCCTGATCATGAGCAGGAGGTGAAGGAGGAGGGGGATGCTGCAGCTGCTGCTGCTGATAAGGGGGAAACGAGGGGAGATAACTGCTGATGTTAATGATGATGATCATCATAATCATTGCTAATCTGGGATTCGTACCCTCTGTTACACGGACATGGTATGAAAGTTATTCATTTGTCTATACCAAATCGTCACTATAATTTCAGACATTGGCATGAAGAAGACGAAAGGTTGTTTAAAAACGATCCTGTAAATGTTGATGTTTTAATGACTGTTGTAACAAGGGGGCATGTACAATAAACAGAACAGCAATAGGTTATCGCGGAACATCGTCACTCTGACTGTCAACATCACTATCAACTGAAATAACAATTTGACTAATGTCATGATGTCAACCGTCTTTATCCCAATATGATCTTCTTTAAGAGGCATTTAGAAGCTGGCATGATGAAGAGGAACACTCACTTGTTGATAGACAACTTTTTTATTGCAATAGATGTGACGTTTCGGTGTATATTGCAATAAAGAAACTGTCTACCCATAACACAAAGTGTTCCACTCCCAATATGAAGCTTCGATTTCGGTCTCAACTTTCTCGATGCACTTGGCCCACTTTGTACACAGGCTTTGTTTTGTTGGTCTCCACAATGTCATACAACACAGGTTTGGGACTGTTGGAGGGAAATGAATATCACGTGACACCAGCCAGATATCGTGTCGTCCTTCCTAGAACTTGATGTTGTTACCTTCTATGATAGGGAGTATTGTCCATAACGATAGCGATATCGGAAGAAGAACCGGATGTAGTTGTTTCTCCGCCCGTTCCAGAAAGGCTTGGCTGTTCATTCCGTTATGATAATCTCAGTTATCTTTAGATGTCGCACAACATACCTAAGCACATCTAAGAGGAAATCCTATGCTTTTACATCCACCTTGCAGGAAGATCAGTCTCTCACCTTTACCTAAAGGTTGTTTACGAGAGGTTTTAACATCTAATGAAACTCACAGATGTTGCACAGTAATATATGCATCACCCATGTTTCATCTAGGTAGATCACCTCATATCCCTGCTTCTGATTCTTGGATATGGTTCTCAGAGACACTGCATCCTTCCCTTCACATAACATATGCCTGCTGTCGCCTGCAATTGTCTTATATTGGAACCCCAAACAGTGCAAAAGTTTCCAGAAGCAGTGCTTGGACACAAGTAATGACTGCTCACTTTTCATGTATTTCTTCAACAACCGCAAAGATATGAACCTGTTAAAACTGTCCCTCTTTTCGACTTTCGTAAGCTTTGGTCCCTTGCGGACTGGCTTTGTTGAAATGGTAGACTCTTTCTTGTAATACGCATTTCATTTTGCGTTCAGAAAGGTGCTGCTCGTTTCCTGTATTTTGAAAGTGCATAAAGGACCTTCCCCTTTCCCTTTCCGACTTGCAATAACCATGTGATATGTAGGGGTTTACAAGTTATCTGTGAATCATGCACCGTGCTGTTATTGTCGATTGAGCTCATTGTGTATATTTTATCATCTGCATTTGTCATTATCTGAATAGCAACACCAAGAACATTCCTAGCACTGCTTTGAGAATATTTTACCGACTCCTTTGTATATTCCGTTAAATAGCTACTGTAGAAAGATACATATAGCAGATCCTGATGTCGACATTTCTTTTGGCAGTCTTTTATTGCAGAAAAGACAGTATTGGGTTGGCATAACACGTGCAACTATCACATGCGAATGGTGGGCTGTTCTACATACACTGCATACCCCCTCGTTACAACAGTCATTAAAACACCACCATTTACATGATCGTTTGTTAAACAACGTTTCCTCTTCTTCATATCAATGTCTGACATTATAGTGACGATTTGGTATGGACAAATGAATAAGACGATTAAATTTGTTGTTTTCGAATGTTTACATATTTGCCATTTCATCGTTACGCTGTTGAAACTAACGGACTATAGCAGCCATTGTTTCCGACGTTCTCTTCGTGCAAGAAGCTATCGAACGATACCAAAAATATGTACGTCATGTAACAATTGGCTTATTTAAATCACCATAGAATTCCCATTCAGCTCCCGACACCGGTATTACAACTACCAGTCAGGGCTTATCAGACGCTAAAGTTGTCACTATGATTTAAGCCTCGTGATAGGATTGGAACTAGGCAATACCCCCTCAACGACTACTTTTTATCACTGTGCAACGAATGGATGTGCAAAATACAAAAGGTCCACAGCGGGATAAATTAATGTCAATCATTAAAACAGAATGTATACTAATGAAAGTTAACAAATACCTATATTATAGAAACATAATGTCTGGCTTCGATTCAGAGCAACTATGACGACGTCCAGCTCTAGTCTGGACAACACGATACCCTACACGTACTGTTTTGCCGTACTTTCCATGCACATAGAAAAATTACATTAACTTTTTTTTTTTATCACAAAGAGCCAACAAAAGAAAGTCTATAAAAGTAATGGTAAACATTTCATATCATATTATACAAAACATATTTTATATCTATTTTGGCAATGCTAGGTAAATCAATCGACAAAACGCTGTTTATGCTATGAATATATTTGTGTTGTAACACTCACCCCAAACAGCAAGCGGCGAAAGGAAAATCTGCAATAAATTTGATGGAAATAGACATCAAGTCAGACTATTGTCGCATATTCCAGACGTATATCCCATGATGAAAGCTATACCGTCTTGACCTAGTGTTTGGGCAGTGTGACTACTCAAGACTAGTTGAAGAAGTGAAGCTACAGATATACATTAATGCAAACATACAATCAAAACAAACAAATATACAAATAGACCTAACATAAATAGTGTTTCACTTTGGTCTTTAACTGGGCATGGATGGGTATCTACTAGACTGCTCGCTGTTGTGTTTTTTTTGGTTAAATTATGCCAATTGTTTCAATCATCGAAGAAAACATTCAAATGTGTCTATGAATTTTACGCAATTCTCAGAAGGCATTAAACTATTTAAATAACATAAATACTAATCGATCTCTTGCCCCGTCTTGTTCATATGTATTTATAAATATAAACATGCAAGTATCAGCTGGCAGACTGGCTTTTTGTTTCAGGGAATGCATAAAAAATTCCCATACATTTTGCCAAAATGTATGGGGAAATTTCCAACATATATGTAATCAATGTTCAATACAGGTAACGGAATTAGCATACTTACCAACCAAAACTTGAAACCATTCCTAAAGATGTCATTATTTTCCATCAATATCTCAAAACAGCTCCACACATCGAACAAACAATGGATGCCTCATGACAGATGAATATATTGCCAGTGCTGTGTTTGCCTAACGCTGTGGAGTAGCCTAGAAGACGTCAGCCGCACCAGCAGCAGCATGGCGAGTGGCTAACGACATCGTCGCGGGAACACCCTTGGTGCCAGGCGCAGGTCTATTGTGTTGACCGATAGATGGCGTGGGAAGAACGGCATTGCTCAGACAACTTTATGGTAGCTCGATCAAATTGTGGTAAATCTTTCTTCTACACACCTTCATCTTGATTAACACTATCACGGACTTTCTTTATATTCAGGTAAGAGACGAGTGGGATTAATTCCATCTGGATTCTCAAAAACTCTCAGGACTTGATTGATTTTGTACTGATTTACCCCCCTGCACTTTAAACACAGGAAACCACCGAGACCGCGTCATGGGTTTCATGGTTAGATATGTGTATAAAGGTTAAGACTGTCAAAAAACTCTCCACCAACCTGTATAGTATGAGAATTTTAGGAATATGTTTAATTGGATTTCTAGTATAAACAACCTTGACCAGCTATCAAGTGCTTGGTTTCATTCAAGAGAGACAACTCCGTTAATCCTTTTCCATTAGTTTGTGAAGAGTTATCCCCCTTTGTTTACTTGCTAACAGAGGACATATTCAGTGATCCTCAGTATGGATGATTTAGAGAAGAGGAAGTTGATTTTAGAGTATTATTACAAGGACATCAGATCAGCTAATGTGATTTCAGGCAGAACAGGCATCCATTTTATCCACTGTTTATCGTGTTTTGAAAAAATATTGCAATTGGATATGGCATTGAGCACCAGGGAGGCGCAGGCAGGCCCAGAAAATTGATTGTTGGTGACAGGAGGAGGCTTGGTATTCTTGTTTTTTAAACAAACGAAGGAGTTTAGAAAACTTAAGGCTGGATATGATACACTGAAATTCTGGACCAAACAAACTGAAAACCTTTGTATCAGCGCCCAAAGTCTGAAATTTAACGTGTGGGGTGGCATATCTGTGTTAGGGGCAACGTCCTTCTGTGAGTTTGAAAGGAATATGAACAGTGAGCGGTACACAGATATTCTCGAGGGATATTTATTTCCATCTGCTCACGTGTTCTATGGAAATGTTTGGATTTTCCAGCAGGACAACGCCCCAAAACATCGTTCAAAGCATTCACAGGCCTGGTTTCGGACCCAACATATGACATTATTAGATTGGCCAAGCTATAGCCCTGACCTAAATCCAATAGAAAATGTTTGGGGACTTATGAAGGAAAGTGTCACTAAGAAAAATCGGACAACTATTGCTGAAATGAAAGAAGAGGTCGTCCAATATCGGGACAGCGTGGACCACGACTTTCTAACTTCTTTGATCAGTAGTATGCCCCGCCGCATTGAAGCCTGCATTGCTGCCCATGGTGACTTGACAAAATACTAACTGTTCACCTGTCTTTGAATCTTGAGTTATGTTTTGCTAATATTCACATTTAATACGTGAGTAATGAGTGAAAAAATAAATACTTTACAATCTTTAAATTCTCAATAATTTCTGGTTGTACTGTATGATAAGAAGGGGAATTTCCAGCAGTCATCTTTCTCTTCATGTCCAGAATAGTCCAACAGCTCCAGCATTAGGTGTTTACATCTGAAAATTCATGTTCTTATATCACGATTTCCAAGAGCGTCAAATGACTCTTCCTTTTGTTCGATCAAGGCTTCTTCAAAGGGTATTACAGTAGGCATGTGGATAACATTTCTAAGTACGACGCATCACTGACAAAAATGATGTCCGAAGCAATTCTCTCTTTGACTTGGACCATACGTTCCCAACTTTT